TGCCGCGGCGCGGCGGGGCGCGGACCGATGACGCCGCAGCGGCGGGACTGCGCTGGGTCCTAGCGCCCGAGGAGGTGCGCGCCGCGGCCGCAGAAGCACGTCTACACCAGAGCAGCTCAGTTGCGTCACAAGCCCCGCCCACATCGCGCGGGGCAGCCTGAGGCGCTGCCGCCTAACGCGGCTCTTGCGGCTGTCGCAGCCCCCCGCTTTTAACAGCGCCCTGCCCTCCTCCGGCACCCCCGAGACTCGTGTGTCGTCCCCTCTGCCTAACACCGCAGGGATCTGAAGAACTTGTGACATTCCCCCTCAGCCTTCTCTTGTCCAGACTCTGTAATGCCAGCTCTTCCCGCCTTGCCCTGTAAGTCGTGTTTCCTGCACCTCTCACTATTTCCCTCTCCGTTTGCTGGAGTCCGGTTTAGCGCCATCGTTCAGAAAGAGCAGGGCCCGAAGCTGGGCGCATTCCTCCAGGTGGGGCCTCATCGGTGCCAACTAGAGCAGAAGAATCGCTCTGCTTGCCTTGCAAGTGCCACTGCTGTCAGTGCAGCCGGGTCTGCCTTCGCGCAGCCTGGTCCACTGCTGCCTTTTTTGCGACGAGTGCGCTGTTGGCTCATACTCGCCATACGGGCCGCTATAATCCCCGAGTCCTTTTCTGCAGTAGTGCAGCCTAGACAGTTGTTCCTAGGGATGTATTTTTTCATGTAATTGTTCCACTCAGTGCACATCTTTGTGCCTGTCCATACTGGATTTCATTTGACCAATTTCAGACCCTTTTTTTGAAGTCATTCTGAATCCTAACCTTGCTCAGCTTACACTTGCGCTGTGGATTTGCTAAGCGTGCACCCGTCTTCCAAATCATAAGCTATTAAACAGTACCAGACCCCTGGGGACCCCTGTTCTTGGTACCTCATCCCACTTTGACCAACTCATAACAATTGTGTCTTTCTTATAGAGAACACGTAACCTTTTATCTCCTGTGTTTCCTTCCTGAACAGGGACTGCCCATGATACTACTCCAGACCTGGGAACTAGGCCTGCGCCAAGCAGCCTAGTATTCACTTCAGATTCGGACTCAACCGATTCGGGGGACAGTGATTTGATTTGGTGATTCGAATTACTGTCCAGATTCGATTTGGCCGAATCTGACTCGGAGATGGGCCTGAATCAGCCAGGCCCATCCCCTGCCCGCTCTCCCAGCCAGGTATTGAATGCCTCAGCTCCCGGCACTTGGTGGGGGGGAAAGCCCTGACTCAGCAGGAGCTGCTGGGTGGGGGGGCAATCCCTGCTACCCCCCCACTGCCCCACACTGCATGGGGGGCTCTCCACAAGCCCCGTGACTCCCCCTCTCACTCCTCTAGCCCCCCCATGGGTGCCCCGCCTGTGCCAGCTCCGGCCCTTTAAGAAGAAAAAAATAGAAAAAACCCCCGGCCTCACTGCTCCTGCCAGTGGGAGGTGATCCCTGCTGCCCCCATAGCCCCACGCCACATGAGGGGCTCTGCATGAGCCCCCCAAAGCCCAGATGCTGCTGCAGGAGCGGTGAGTCCAGGGGTTTTTCTTGGCTTTTTTTTCTTAAAGGGCAGCTGCTGGACTGGGCGGGGCAGCCATGGCGGGGCTGGGGGAGTGAGGGAGGGGTTGGGGGACTCGTGGCAGAGCTCCCCATGCAGCATGGGGCAGTGGGGGGCAGCGGGGATCGCCCCCTGCCGGGCAGATCCCAGGTTGCACCGGGTCTTTTTTTTTTTTTAAGTACCGAGAGCTGAGGCAGCCATGAGGGGAGCTGGGGGAGCGGTGAGGGGAGGTTGGCAGGGGTCCCCCCATGGTCCCCTCCCCCAGCCCTAGTACTTACCAGTTCTTAGTCACTGGGGACTGCCTGAATTATCAAAGCTCTCCGAATCTTTTCCAAAGATTCGGAAATCTTTGAATCGATTCAGACCTTTCGATTGGTCCCCCGATTTGATTTGGATTTGGAGATTTGGCCACCGAATCAGGCCGAATCTCCTCCAAATCAAATCGCCAACCAAAGCTTCGCACAGCCCTACTGTGAACTATTCCACCAAGGCTTTTTTTTTTTTTTTCAATTGCATCATCATTTCATGACAGTAGCAGGACTGCCAATTCTTCCTGTTTATTCCCCATGCTTCTTACATCAGCCCCTAAACATTATAGCTAACTAACTGATTGCCCTATCTACTCTCTGAGAACATTGTTAGGGCTTCCCCTACTGCCTTCTCTTGCTTGATTTGTATCTATGTCACCTGGCTTGTATCTCTAGGTTTTTGTCTCCATCCCCCATTGAACCCACTGGTAGTTGAAAGCCCTACTCACTAAGTTAGGCTGTATGCAAAGACATTCTTCTCCCTCTTCATCAGGTGGACGAAGCTTGGACAACTTTTGTCTGGTGCTTCCTTAACTGCTTCTGCCTCCTGCCCGTTATTCCCCTGCCGGGTGGCAGCAAAATACCTTTTTCAACGGGAAGCTAAGTCTTGGTTTCCTGACTCATCTATTCCCTGGGAAGACGTGTTGCAATGGTCCACAAATGCTGATGTGGATCTCTTGCTGTCTGTTCTGCATTTGCATCATGAATCTCTTCTTTGTCCTCACAGATTGTATTGTGGGCACCCAGAGAGAGATTTAGTGCTAAACACTTGGCATTTGGTTGCAGTACTTGGGGGGAGGAGGGGGCAGAGATGGGGACAGGAGGTGCTATCTGAGCATAGTGTGTCAGGCGTGTCAGACCTTTAGAAAGGTACCTGATCACATTGCTTATCTGAATGTCCTCCAAGTAATCAACCTCCCAGGAACCAGAGTAGTAATATACTATGACTGTGTAACGTTCCTTCCATTAAAAGCAAACAGGCTTGCCATGACCTTTTCCTAGGGTCAGACAGAATTAGTCAGGAGTCTGTTGAGTCTTTGGTTGTTCATTGCTCGTCTTTCTACTACTACTACAAGTAGTATAGAAAGCAGTGTTATGCCTCATCAAAAAGAATACAATACAGAAGCAATTGGAGAGATTAGTTTGTCAGAGATATTAGTTTTCTCCGTGAACCATAAAAATTACTCATCTGAGGATTCTTGGCATATTTTCCCACCATTTTGTCAAAAAACAGTTTTGCTGTCATTTTCTATTAACTTTTATGCCTCCTTTGGGACAGTTTAGTCTTTTGTTTGGGGATTCCTTTGTTGCGGAGGAATCTTGCTGTGATGTCACTCATCAAAAAAAAATCTCACTGGTCCAATGCTGTTGCAAGTTTTGCTGATCATTAGGGAGAGAGCATCTCCTTTTGTTGGCTGGGTCCTCTTTAAAGTAGTTTCTTTCCACTGTTGTGTGTTTATCACTAAGGTGGTTCAGCTTTCCCAGGCTTCTGTGATTCATAGATTCATAGACATTAGGGCTGGAAGGGATCTTGTGCGATCATTGAGTCCAGCCCCCTGCTTAAGGGGCAGAAAGTCAGCTGGGGTCAGATCACCTCAGCAAGATAAGCATCCAAGCATTTCTTGAATGTATCCAGAATAGGTGCTTGCACTACTTCTGGGGGAGTCTATTCCAGACTCTGGAGACTCAGACAGTAAAGAAGTTTTTCCTTATGTCCAGTCTAAAACGATCTTCCAGCAGTTTGTGACCATTAGACCTTGTCTTCCCTTGAGATGCCCTGATGAACAGATGTTCTCCCAGTTCCTAGTGCACACCCCTTATATACTTATAGGCTGCCACCAAGTTCCCTTTGAGCCTTCTCTTTTCCAGGCTGAAGAGTCCCATGTCCTTCAGTGTCTCCTCATGAGGCCTGTTCTCTTGACCTCTAATCATGCACGTGGCTTTCCTCTGGACTCTCTCAAGCTTCTCTGCTTCCTTCCTAAAGTGCAGAGTCCAGAATTGGATGGGTCCACCAAGGCTGGGTAAAGGGGGAGGATGACTTCTTGGGTCTCGCTTGAGATGCATCAGTAGATGCAAGCCAGAGTTTTATTTGCTTTGCTGGCTGCGGCATGGCATTGATGGCTCATGTTCATCTTGTGGTCAGTCATGACCCCCAAGCTTCTTTCAGTCGTGGTGCTAGTGAGTATAGCACTGCCGAGCCTGTAAGTATGATGTGGATTTTTTTTTCCCCAAGATGGAGCACCTTGCATTTCTCAGTGTTGAATGCCATCAGGTTTTGATTTGTCCACCTTGCAACCCTGTCCAGGTCAGCCTGAATCGCCAGCCTATCCCATACTGTGACAACGCTTCCCCATAGTTTGGTGTCATCAGCCAATTTAGCCAGTCCATTTCTGACACCTGAATCCAGGTTGTTTATAAATACGTTAAAGAGTACTGGTCCAAGTATGGAGCCCTGGGGGACGCCCCTGGTCACCATGCGCCATGTCAACACGGTTCCATCGACCATTACTCTCTGGGTCCGACCACAGAGCCAGTTTCCAAGCCATTAGACTGTGAGGTTGTTGAGGCCGCAGTTCCCCAGTATAACCACGAGGACTTCATGGGAGACCAAGTCAAAGGCTTTTTTGAAATCTAAATATATTTCATAGACATTGGGGCTGGAAGGGACCTCGGAAAATCATTGAGTCCAGCCCCCCACCCGAAGGGCAGGAAGTCAGCTGGGGTCATAAGATCCCAGCAAGATAAGCATCCAATTTACTCTTGAAGGTGTTCAATGTAGGTGCTTGAATCACCTCCGGTGGCAGGCTATTCCAGACCTTGGGGGCTCGGACAGTAAAGAAATTCTTCCTTACATCCAGCCTGAAACGGTCTTGCAGGAGTTTATAACCGTTCGACCTCATCTCCCTTGGGGCGCTCTGGTGAACAAACGTTCCCCCAGATCCTGATGGTCACTCCTGATAAACTTATAGGTGGCCATCAGATCACCCCTGAGCCTGCGCTTTTCCAGGCTAAAGAGCCCCATAGCTCTCAGCCTGTCATCGTAAGGTCTACATGGCATCAACCTCTTCTCCTTTTTCTGGGTGATGCATCAGCTGGTCATAGAAGGAAATAAGGTTGGTCAGGCAAAACCTACCCGCAACAAAGCCATGTTGGCTGGCTCTCAAAATGTTGCTTTCCATTAGCCTGGTTTTGATGGTTACTTTGATCATTTTTTCCAAGATCTTTCCAGGGATTGAGGTAAAAATGATCGGCCTGTAGTTGCCTGGATCGTCCTTCCTTCCATTCTCAAAGATCGGCACCACACTGGCCCTCTTCTGATCTTCAGGCACCTCTCCCGAGCGCCACAAGTTCTTAGATCTCCTCGCCATTGGTCGTGCTAGGATGTCAGCCAACTCTTTTAGTACTCTTGGGTTCATTCTGTCCGGGCTAGCTGACTTGTGGATGTCTAGTCTCTCAAGCTGTTCCCTCACAAGATCTTCGTTAATTGTAGGCATATGATCGCCCTTATCCTGGTAGTCCTGGTCCTGTCAGGCAGGATGATCCCCTTGGGCTGGTGGAAAACCGACGCAAAGTAATGGTTGAGGAGATTAGCTTTCTCCTGTGTGTTGGTTGTCCGCTGCCCCATTTGGTTCAGCAAGGGTCCAAATGGGGCAGCTGACAACTGACACCCAGGAGAAAGCTAATCTCAACCTCCTCAAGGGGGCCGCAGGAAGACGTGGAGACACTACCCGAGCAAGACAGGTGACGCATACAAGGAGTGCCCAGGTAAGAAACAGGGGTCCAGATAGTCTTCTTAATCGGGGGGTGGCACGCGCAGCTATGCAAGTCCTTAAATGCCTGTATACCAGTGCTCAGAGTATGGGGAACGAACAGGAGGAACTCGCCCTCAGAATAGCCAGTTCAAACCCAGACATAGTAGGGATTACAGAAATGTGGTGGGATTCAATCCACGACTGGGCAGTTAGCATTAGGGGCTATAGGCTCTACAGGCGGGATAGAGAAGGAAAGGAGGGGGTGTGGTGCTCTATGTCAAAGAGCAATACACATCCTCTGCCAGCAAAATGGGGTCGGAGGAGGGGCAAGCTGAAGTGCCCTGGGTCAAGGTACAAGGGGATCGTGGGGAGAGGGATGTAACGGTGGGGGTCTACTACAGACCCCCCAACCAAGGGGAGGAGCTGGACCAGGAATTTTCAGGCCAGCTTGCAGAGGCACTTAAGGCAAGAGATGTAGTTGTCATGGGTGATCTAAATTACCCGGACATCTGCTGGGAGGAGCAGTCAGCCAGGTTGGACCATTCCAGGAGGTTCTTGGCCAAGATACAGGACCTCCACTAAACCCAGGAGGTGCACAGTCCCACCAGAGGAAATGCCCTGTTGGACCTGGTGCTGGCCACAGGCGATGACCTGGTAAGGGGGCTCCAGGTCCTTGACCACCTGGGTGATAGCGATCATCGCTTGCTGGAATTCATCATCCAGCGCAGGGTGACAAGGGCCTGCAGCAAGGCGGTAGCCCTAGACTTCAAGAGGGCCAACTTCAAGGAGTTGAGGAGATTGGTGGGAGAGGCGCTGGGGTTCTCGAGGGCAGGGGAACTCAGTGCCCAAGATGAGTAGTCGTTCCTTAAGGAGACGATACTCAGGGCCCAAGGGGTGACAATTCCAACAAGAAGCAAGGGGGGCAAGAGTGCCCGAAAGCCTCCCTGGCTCACCGAGGACATCCGGGAATGCCTGGTTGCCAAAAAGGCGGCATACACCCAGTGGAGTGGGGGGGCTATCTCCAAAGAAGAGCATACCTCCACTGCTCGGGCCTGTAGGGGGGCTGTTAGGAAAGCTAAGGCGGACATAGAGCTAGGACTAGCGTCCAAGATCAAAGATAATAAAAAGTCCTTTTTCAAATATATAGGGAGGAT